CAGAGATTAGCCTACACTTAACGGTCACATGGCTTTACAGGAATAGTGGGCAATTCCTTAGAGGGAATAATAAGCCAACGTGGAAAAAATAATCCGTGATGTTTTTTGTTTTTCTCTCATTAAAAGCAGCATTAAAAAACAAACAAGCATGAAACTATTTCCGAAACACATTAAATATTCTAAATGCAAGACCATTGAAGCTCATCTGTTTAGACATGTGATTCTGAAAGAGAATAATGTCATGCTAGCCGAGCTATGAGGTGAGTGACAACTCTCATTTTTCTTCCACTCTGTTCTCACCATATTCTTCAATTAGATAGTGGGGCAGTTATGTCTCTTGTGTATATCTTTAATCAGATTTTACAATTTTGCGATTGCAAAGAAGTATCCACACATAAATTCATTTCCCTCACAGAATACAGAATATTGCCAGATTGACTTTTTCTTTGCATAGATAGAAGATCTGTCTTGCTCAAAAACCTAATGACTGCTCCACCAGACAGGCTGCCTCAGTTTTTATTATGGACAGCTTAGTCTGTCATTTTGTAATGCTGGCCATTTATTTCTGTGGAGAAAAAAAAGAAAAAAAAATATCTCCGGCAAGGGATTTCAGTTTTGCTAATTATCTAGGATTTTCCCTCTATGTGCTGATTTTTTTTCAAACTGCATCCTTAACCACCGCTGACAACGCTGTCACTTTTTCTTCACTTGCCTTCCTCTTCAGATGCATTTATATAATATATAATATATATATGAAATATAATATCATTAATATATAATATATTATTATTATTATATATATAGTATAAATAAAAATGTGAACAGCCCAAATACTTTTGCATTATTTATTACATAAAACTCAGAACTAGGCATCAGTTATGTTACACGTTTGTGCAGTTATATATGTTCTTGGTTTGTTATATATACATATAATAATAATGGATTGCATTTATATAGCGCTTTTCGGGGCCCTCAAAGTCGCTTTACAATTCCACTATTCATTCACTCTCATATTCACACACTGGTGGAGGCAAGCTCAGTTGTAGCCACAGCTGCCCTGGGGCAGACTGACAGAAGCGAAGCTGCCATATCTGGCCATCACCAGTAGGCGGCAGGTGAAGTGTCTTGCCCAAGGACACAACGACTGAGACTGTCCGAGCCGGGGCTCGAACCAGCAACCTTCCGGTCACTAGACGAACTGGCAACTCTTTGAGCCACGATCGCTCCACATATATATATGTATATACCTCCCGCGACCCTGAAAAGGATAAGCGGAAGCAAATGGGTGGATGGATATACATACCTTTTTTTTTTAGTCACGAGTTTGAGCTCTTATTTATTTTCCAGGCAATGATTAAAATAAGCAACAATGGACTGTCATTCAAGAAATCGAGGTAGATTTTCCGAAGAAATTTTACTCAAAGCACAATAAACTTTGAAGGTTTTAACTGTTTTCATTTACACAACAACAGCTTTTATAATATAGTTTGATCATTTGTGTAAACACACCTTCCGTATATTGGCTATACACCAGTATAAGCAGTATCTAAGAATATTCAAATTTCCTTACTGCATCTTTCTGAAGTGGCTGCTTAAACATAGCTTAATGCTACCCCTGCCAGTGATGAAATACTCCAGCAACCAGTGTTTTCACATCTGAGAACATGCAAAAGTAATAAAAATCCAACTTACTGACCTTTCTTTTGAAATTAATTTTTATAAAATATTCTGGTCTTCAATGATTACTGACTGAAGCTGAAAACAACACTTTGGTGGGACAAGTGTTAGTTGAGTATTTGCTTTAGCTGCCAGGTTATTTACCATTGCTAAATTTTTTGTCACGGTCTGAATTTTGTCCCAGTTTTTTTTTAGTAATTCTACAACACAATAGAATACACATTTGTAATCTATTGTAGGCAATGGCTGCAAACGTCTGTCTACAGAATACGAGGGAATTTATTGTTCCTCCTAAAGTGCTTGGTGGTGAGATTCCCACCAGGAAAAGGTGTGATATTATCCCACAGTGTACCATGACATATTCTTAGTAGTATCATGCAAATGCATGTGATAGACCTGTTGTTTGTGCTTCAAATAAGTGGGGAAAAAAGTGCTTCTGTCAGACAAATTGCAAAAAAATATTCTATGATAGAGGTGTTTTTTTGTCATTGACTATAGGTTAAGGGAGGAAAGACCAACAAGTTAACAATACATAACAATTCCTCAGACTCTCTTTCTCTGCCACCAACTGTATTTACACAGAAGCAAAACATTTAGCTAGCACCAATGCACTTATTCTGTTAGTGCCACAGACTAAGCATCATGGTTGGTGGATAGTGCTACATTAATCAAGTGCAATCAAGTGCCTCTCTGTTCCAATGTCATCTACTTTGCATGAACCATTTTAAGAAAAATATTCTCTAATTTTGAATTTGATGCTGGCACAGTTGCTGGAATTTTGAGAGAGAAATGTTCCCATTCCAGTCTGATAAAGGAGATTTCTTTTCTTTTTAGCTGTTAATTTAATAGGCACTAATACACCCCCATACCATCAGATGGTTCCTGGCTTCTTTACTTCAGAGGACACACAATCAATATTTTCCAAAGATAATTTGACAATTCAATTTGTTTGACCACGTTGTCTCAGTCCATACCAAAAAAAGCTTTGTCTCATTTTATACCTTGTCTCTTGTGAAATTGTATCTTGAGATTTCTCCATGCACTGAGTTTTTTTTTCTCAATTTTGTGTACTGTAGAAGATGAGCTGTTCAAAGTCTTCACATTCAGCCTTTACACTGAGGAACATTATTAGGGCCCAAGCACCGAGAGTGCGAAGGCCCTATTGTATCTGCTCCGTTTATTATTAGGGCCCGAGCACTGAGAATGCGAAGGCCCTATCCGGTTGTTCAGTGATGACGCGACGAATCCTACTTCCGGGTCTAAAGTAGTCTGCGTTTAATATGGCTTTTGTGTTGTTAACATGTTTAATGTTATGTATTTTCTTCTCCTAAAACAGTCAGTGATCACTGTTGACCTCCCTCGGCTTTTATTACCACTAATCATTTATTTAAGTTTTATTAAAGATGAAAGACTTTAGACAGTTTTTCAACTCTCAGTAATGCCATAGCGATCGTTTGATATATGGACCTGCAGCGGAGTTTAGACCCAGACACGGCTAGTGACGTCAGACTGAACAATCAGATTGTATCTGCTCCGTTTCTTCTTATTATTATTATTATTATTATTCAGGAAAAACAAGGGCCTTTTTCAGCACACATCTGTACCATGCCAAGACAAACAAAAAAGTCTGTGGGCCCATTGATGCAAACCCAACAGGAAGTCCGCCATTTGGAACGTGAAGGTGACATTTTGGCTCTAATTTTGCCATTTCCATGCCTCGAACTTTTTCGAACTCCTCCTTGGGATTTGGTCGTATAAGCTTCATCTTTGGTCAGTGTCAACTACACACCTGGGCCATGTTAAATTGCGGAGCTTTTGAGTTTTCTGATACGGTGGGCGGTGGCGCCACGGCGAATTTCGATGACTCGCCATGAAAATCTTATTGCCTCTCATTCTGTCATCTGGACCAAAGGAACACATATGATAAGGCTCCACCCCTGAACATATTTCAACTGCCATATTTGACATAAGGGACAGCGCCACCTAGTGGGAACAGGAAATGTCATGTTTTACACTTTGGGGTACAGTATTGTGATGGGTGACATCTGTGAGCCACTATCAGACAAACAGAGACTGCAGCGTGTTGTGCGCTCTGCTGAGAAGGTGATTGGCTGCAACTCCCATCTCTGCAGGACCTGTACACCTCCAGGACACTGCGGCGTGCAGCCGGATCTCAGCTGACCCTTCTCACCCTGGACACAGTCTGTTTGACCTGCTCCCCTCAGGCAGGAGGCTCCGGTCCATTCGCACCAGAACCTCTCGCCATAAGAACAGTTTCTTCCCCTCTGCTGTTGGACACATGAACAATAACACATGACTGTCCCCCACTAACACATGACCCTACGCTGTGTCACTGCATCATTCATGTTTGGCACTGATCACCACCTGCACTCATGTATATATCTTTCTACGTAGCACTCTTAATTCTTATTCTCATGTATATATCTCATGTATATCCATGCAATATCTTTCTACTAGCACTTTAATTCTTATTGTTTGCACTGAAGCACCGCAGCAATTTCCTAATGTTGTAAACCTCAACATTGGCAATAAACCCCTTCTGATTCTGATTCTATTCTGATCTCAGCTAAATTTTCCAGAAAGCCTGGAGCAGCATGGCGAACTTTATGTCTCGCCATGAAGAAACAAATTAGTTAACTCAATGAAATCCAGTCTGATCAGTACCAGACTTTAGAGGCATGATGTCAGCCCGCCCTGAACAGATTGATGTGCCCATTGTCAGGAATAGCAGAGCGCCACCTAGTGGCAACAGGAAATGTCATGTCTTACACTTTGTTGTACTGATTTTCACAGGTTCATTGTGGCCACCTCAAAAGCGGTGAATATCAACATCAGTCCCTCGTGATGCTTCAGTGCAAAAATTGTGACTTTAAACTGAACGGCGCACCCTGGTGGCAACGCGGTTCACCATGAAAGATGAAGTGGCTTTTGAGGGGCTTGGAAAGTTTAAAAGTCTTGAAATTTGGCACACACCTCCAATGTGATGAAGGCTTTGTTGTTATGTGATCATTTTCATTGAATAGCGCAAAATGGCTCCACAGCGCCCCCTACAAAATTTCAAAACATCAGCCCCTGCTCTGTGTTTTATCTATGAGTCTGAAACCTGGTAAGCTTATAGAGATATCAAGATGTACAAAAAAGTCTCTTGGAGCAATATCCCAAATCCAACAGGAAGTCAGCCATTTTAAAATTAAGGTGTAATTTTGGCGACATTTTAACCTCTTTTCAGGCACCGTTCTTTGACGAACTCCTCCGAGGGATTTCATCAGATTGACGCAATCTCCAGTGTGTGGATTCTAAAGACCTCTGTGATGTCAAATTGCGAAGCTTTTTACGTTCAGGGAAACGGGGTGGTCATGGCGGCACTTGGAATTGAATCACTCGCCAAAAAGCAGTAATCTGCTGTCACTCAAAAAACACAATGTCCAATCTCTCCCAAACGTCAAAGGTGAGAAGAGACTCGACCTCGGAAATGTTTGTTATGCCATTTGTCAGTAATGGTTAGAGCGCCACCTAGTGGGACGACTATAATCATGGTTGAATGAGATGAAATTTTAGCTGGTGGTTAAATGTATGAATTCAGTCAATCTGACATGAGATCGGATGTGCTGGTTTTAGGTGTTGGGCGTGGCTCGACATGCCGGGTGCGAGGGCCCTCATAACGCTGCTTGCAGCTTTAATTATTATTATTATTATTATTAGGGCCCGAGCACTGAGAGTGCGAAGGCCCTATTGTATCTGCTCCGTTTCAAGGTGGTCATGGCGGCACGTGGAGTTTCAATCACTCGCCAAAAAGCAGTAATCTGCTGTCACTCCAAAACACAATGTCCAATCTCTCCAAAAGGTTGCAGGCGTGATGAGACTCGACCTTGGAAATGTTTGTTATGGCATTTGTCAGTAATGGTTAGAGCGCCACCTAGTGGGACGACTATAATCATGATTGAATGAGATGAAATGTTAGCTGGTGGTTAATTGCATGAATTCCATCAATGAGACATCAGATCGGACGTGCTGGTTTTACGTGTTGGGCATGGCTCGACGCGCCGGGGGTGCGAGGGCCCTCATAACACTGCTTGCAGCTTTAATTCTAAAATTGTATTTGTAGACACCGTTTTTCGGAGATTGGTGAACATTTCTTATTTCTGAGAAACTCCTTACAATGTTCTTTTTTTCATATCCAATCATGTCACTCACCTGTTGCCAGCTGACATAATTAGTAGCAAAAACGTGTTTTTTTTTTTTAAATAGTTCACTTATTTTTCCAGTCATTTGTTCCCCTCATTCAAATTTTTTTGAGACATGTTGCTACTATCTTACCATCTTACATTATAATTAGTACCTTTAAGTTATTACGCTATCATATAAAATATCATTATTTTACATAGTATTAAAAAAATAAATGTGTAGATTTTACACAGGTTAATTGATTTTCCTACTTATTTTCCTTCAGCATTATTTTTTTCCCAGAGCATTTCTTCTATTCCTGACCTTTTGAGGCACTCTCTTGTAAGTAAAATTGAATAATTAAAACAATCTAGCGTGCCTTTTTCTTCCTTACGGTTACTGCCTGTTTTAAAAATGAACTTATTTATCTTTTTAAGAGAAAGTGTGTTACCAGTGCCCTTTTCTTGCTGGAACACTGTTTTAGCTTTTACTCAAATTGCAGCATTTTGAAATTACTTGGCTCCCTGTGGATAAGTAGAACATTTCAACAAGATCACTTGGAAATTTTCCGAAGCTGCTCCCTTTTTTTGCGGGGGTATTCTGGATTAATGTGAGATTTATATGACAAAAAACACTAAGTGCATATTTTCCAAGAAAAGCTCATCAATCCAGTAATGCAAATGGCTAATGATTTTGAACCAGAACACAATAAAAAAAAATCCTGTTTTTTTAAGAGCTTTACTTGGTTAAAAAAAAATTATGACTTTAACAGCATCATAGAGGAAAAGAAAGGAGCTCTAATAGCGAAAGACTATCACAAATACAGATATTTATGAATATTTCAAAGCTGATAACATACTTCACATAGCTGACTGTATGACATACTCCCTGAAGAGCCATTCTGTTTGAACATGTTGAAACCCTTAATCTATATTCATCACAGCAAATGCTTTTTCATTTCCACAGATCAGTTTTTTAATAGCTAATGACATCTGTGCCATTGAATAGTATATGTTTTTATTTGTTTGTTTTCTTGTGTAGGTATGCTGGACTCACTATCTGTGATCTGAATTAGAGCAGGGCGATATGGCCAAAAATATTTATCACGATATATATTTGAAAATTTGCGATAACGATATAACGACGATATAATTGATGCGAGACAAAATACAACTCCACAACATTACTAGCAAAAAGACAACCTTCCATTTATTTTCACTTAAACAAGAAGCTGGTTTTTATGTACATTAAAGCTTTATAAAAATGTAACAGTGCAAATGCAAATTCCTTGCTGAAAGTTTAACCAAAAGGCATTTCCAGTAGAAATGGGCTGACATATCCTGAGCATAACCATGTATAATATCCACTGAAGTTAAAAAGAGGTGCTTTGCAACATTAAACTGCAGTGTGCAGTACGTATTTTTCGGACCATAAGGTGCACGGGATTATAAGGCACATTAAGCGAAACAAAGCAGTCAGATAAATCAAACTTTATTAAACTCATTCTTCTTGCTTCCTCCACTTCTGTACCATTGATTCATTAATGTTGAATTCTCTGGCAGCTGCTCTATTCCCATGTTGTTGCAGTATATTAATGACTAACCTCGTATTGTGGATGGATTATCTCAGTTGTTCTCCTGACTGAAGTTTGGTCCGTTTACAGCATCCTGCCATGCGATTGCATTTGTCTCTAACCATCAGGAACCTTCACGTTAACTTTTATAAGTGGAAAAGTGTTAGTGTTCGTCCTCCAGCTTCACTGTTTATGTTATGCTAACATAGCTGTGTCGCTAGCGATCACGTAGCACATCATTATATACCAGCTAGCCCAACTTCAGTAACCCTACAAACGTCACTGCTGTTTAGTTTCCTGTCTTCATTTATGTTGGAAGTGATAGCAGAGCTGTACGTTTGATTTTTTTCAGAAATCTCTCAGTCAGAACATGCTATATCATGCTTAGGTAACTAGCGAAACTAGCGAGCTAACTTCCGCTAGCTTCCTGCTAACTTCTAACTCCGTTAAATGTAATAACTTTTGTTTTCATGGATGCCTGGAAGTTAAACTTTATAGTTACACCTGGTAAAGCAGCAATGCTGATCGTTTTATTAAAGATGAAAGAATTTAGACAGTTTTTAACTCTAAGTGATGCTGCAGTGTTGTTTGACCTGAAGCATACGGAGTTTAGGACCCAGATTACTCCCAGATTTAAGAGCATCTTAGTCCGACAAATACGACAATAACGACGGCCGCTTGCATGTTCTGCAAAAAAATGTGCTTTGTTGTGTATCTGACGGACAAACACCAAACCAGTTCCACATCACTGAAGTTGCACCATTTTTACAAACCAATTCTGGTTCATCTGTTTCACTCAACAATCGGCCATGTGCGTATGAAAACAAAGGCACTGCGCATGCGCGTTTTACTCCCATTCTATCGCGATATTTCATTTTCCTATCGTTGCCTAACATTATACCGGTATTACCGTGAACGGTATAATATGGCCCAGCCCTAATCTGAATGTTGTACTTTTTTGCAAACCAGATCCAGCGATGGAGAGAAAACCAATAGATTCTGCCTACTGAGAGTTTGAAAGTATAGAAAAACAGTAATAAACATGCGCTCCAAGCTTTTCACACCACAGAAGAAAATCTGTTAGAATGTTTAAAACAAGTAAATAAGTCAGCAAGTTCTATATTAGGAGGTTTTAGAAATGTGATAAAATGCAAGCGGTGTCAGGGTGATTACTGACAGCCCTCATGCTAGCTAAAAATGGGCTGCTTAAGTGAGCAAAGGGACCAGGGATAGAGGGGGATATTGATATTAGCTACTGAATATCTTTTTTCACTTTGCTGTTGCCAGGCTGATATGGTAAATTTAGTACCATATTTAAAAATTATTGTTTATTTTTACATTAATGATATACAACAAATCATTAAAGGACAAAAAGCATTCTCAGTAGGAAAAGAGAAGTAAGTACATTGTTCATGAGCTTTCTCTAATAAAGGTTCTTTTTAAACTTTAAGGAGTAAAATGGTCACAGCTGAGGAGGTTGTTGACGGTGAGCTTAAGCTCTCCAACAATGTGGATCTTTGCAAAATTAATCCACCTCTTCTTCAGCTAATAATTCTTGGGAAATTTAAATATAAGCCTGAGCTGTTTTACGAATGTTTGCATTAAGGACAGATAACAAGAGGAAGGTATGGCTAGCTAGCAAACTGTAGGCAGTTTAGTAACTGAAGAGCCTAAGCCTTTCTAACTACACCATTTGTCATCATTTTCTAACATTAGGTGGTTTCTCGAAGACATGTTGCAGTGAGGCGGTAACTTCCCCACTGGCGCCAAGCAGGGTGCTCGTCCAAACAAAAAGCAAGTCAAAATGAAAGAAAAAAATATATACATGTATAAAAGGTAAGAGTATTAATTAAAAATATTTTTTCTGTCTTTTTTAAAAATCAACTTTGATTGAAATTTTGATTAAGAGATTTCTGCAAGAGGGGGCAGTCTGTGTAAGCATTAGGAAGAAAGGAGGCGCACAGGAGCTTGACCTTCTCAGGGTGGGGCAGGTTGTGTAAATTTTTTATCACCAATTACGGTGTGAGTTTGATTTTTCTTGCACTTGAAATAAACGTTTCACTTTTACTGTATAGCTCCAGTTTCAAAGTTCAAACTTTTTCATATTCTACCCAAACAGGTCAGAACACTGAGTGGTAATCTAAGTACTCCTGCAGGTCTGCAGTGCCATGACTCAGTATAGACACGGAGAAAAAAAATAGCTGGAAAAGCAAACACAAGTAAAGATATATATATTTAATATAGGCAGAATCTAGAGCTCACCCAGTTTGAAATTGTGAGCTCCAAAATGAAGCTAAACTCTTGCTGTGCACACCTAAGAAAATGAATGGTTTACTGGCAAACAAATGGCAATTTTAAGACTAGTAGACATTTATCGATCTATTCTGAATAGGTATGCCTACAGAGGTTGAAGAAGTGAACAAATTCTTCTAACCTGTTCATCTATCTCCCACTACTGTTTGTTTTATCTTATCTGGCCAAAAGACCGATGAGCGCCGCCGCAAGTGTTCTGCTGTCCTTCTGTGTCTCTATAATTTCCTAAAAATCACTGCCATCCCTGCAGTACTGAACAAAGTAGTCAAACTTACACATGACTAATGAGTCTTTGCCCACCTTGTGTTCAAGTCAAGGTCATATTTGTTGTTTTGCAGGCAGCAACCTAGAATATTCTGATTGTGATACAACCAAGCTACTACATCACTGATATATTAGTTTCAAATGTATCGTCTAATTGTTTCTTATCTTGTTTTCCTTATTTATGTAATAAATAATAATAAAGACTGTACCCCAAATATGTTAACAATGAGCCCACACCTTAAGAAATTTACCCCCATGTGCCAATTTAATTTACCTAGGTAATAATAATAATGACATAATTAACATTAAGATACAAGACTGCATGAACAAACATATACATACAAGCCTATAGAGCAAGCTGTTATATATATCTATATCTATATCTATATATATCTATATATATATATATATATATATATATATATCTATATATATCTATATATATCTATATATATCTATATATCTATATATCTATATCTATATCTATATATCTATCTATAT